ATGTAGTTGTAGACTGTTCTTTCTCACTCCTGTATAGCACTTCACTGTGTGACTATATACCAAAATTTATTCACTCCACTGCGGAGAGTTTGGGGCTATTATGAATGATGCTGTTACAAACATCCTAGAGCATGTCTTGGGTGAACATATGGACACATCTCTGTTAGGTATAGAATTGTTGGGTCATAGAGCATGCACATGATTAGCTTTAACAGATACCGTCCAACAGTTTCCCAAAGTGGCTGTGCCAATTTACACTCACCAGCAGTGTCTGGGTTAAGCCCATCCTTGTCAGCACTTGGCATAATCCATCTTTTTCATTTTGGCCATTCTGGTGAGTGTGTATGATATCACATGTGGTTGTAATTTGCATTTCCCTGATGGGTAATGAGGTTGAGCCCCTTTAGCATGTTTGTTAATCACTGAGGTATCTTCTCTTGGGAAGTAGAATTCCCTGTATTTAACTCCCCCTCCTTTAAACACCTAGAGTAGCTTCTGCTTTCCTGACCAAACTCTGACTGACACACCAGGGGACAGTGAGGAGACCAGTGTGCCTGGAATAGGCAGGGGTTTGTTGAGTGCAGTCAGTGGAAGACTGTGCAGGGCTGGCAGGATCTGACTATAGTCTTTCCTTAATAAAAGGAGTCTGAATGGATTCTGACTCATAGCAATCACACAGGACAGAGCAGAACTGCCCCATAGGGTTTCCAAGGAGAAGCTGGTGGATTCGAACTGCCAACCTTTTGGTTAGCAGCCGTAGCACTTAACCACTGCACCACCAGGGCTCTAAATAAAAGGAAGTCTGAGGAGAAGCAAAGAGAAGCATTGGGAGAAAGGGGTGGCTGCTTACAGAGGCAGTGCTGGGATGGGAGTGTGCATGTGAGTGGGGCAGGAGGGGAGATGTGCATTCTTGGGGAAAGAGCCCTAAATCCTGAAAGAACACACACATTTCCTAGTTCCTCCCTTTCTCCCTGCCTCAGTCTTTGAAGCTAGGCCCAAAAAATACCCCTCCCCACTTTGCAGTCATTAAATTTGGAAAAAGTGAAGCAAGGCCTTATAAAGAGCTTTCAGGTGCTCTAGTTACAGGGCATGGAGCTCAGGCATCCCCCTAACAGTTGTTATACTTCTCAACATCTCCCTTCCCTCCTAGACTAGACTGTGACTTTCTTGAGGCAGGAGCCAGAGAGTCTGAACCACTCTGTGCCCAACATTTAGTGGAATTAATTAATATGAAATTAATGAATGAAGATGCATTTATTAAATAAAGAAGAAGAGGATGAAAATAACATTAAAGAGAACTGAATACTTATATCTCAGGTTCTCTGCTGGTTGCTTTACATAAATTACCACTAATTCCAAAAACAACTGGCGAGTTAGTCTCAAAATCCCCATTTCAAAGATAAGAAAATGGAGGCTAGGAAGTTTAAACAACCTGCTCAAAGTCTCCAGGCTGTTAATTATTGAGCCACAGCTGGGACTGAGGTCTGCTTGACTGCAAGGCCCACGCATCCTCACTACCCATTTGGCACCAAGGCCTAATGCAGAAGAAAAGCTCTTGGCCAGCCAAAGCTATCCGTTCAGTCCATTTGCTCAGGGTCTACTTCAAAGCCACTTAGCATGAGAGGTTTCTGTTATAAGACAAAAAACAAGAACAGGAAGAGGCACAAGTCACCCTTAGCCCCATGATAGCAGAATCCAAAGGTGGTGTGGCTGAAGCGTACTCCTGTTTCCTTTGTCTCCTATAGGAACTCTCCAAGTGGCAGCTGAGACTAAAGGACGGGCAAGAGGTTCTGGGCCATGGCTCTGACTGTGGCAGGTGACAGAGTGCCTCACCTTTCAGGCCCTATGTTCAACATAAGGAAATGGAAAACAACTTATACTCTATTACAGTCAGGCGTGTGAGAAATATCCAGTGTGAGCAGCACATGGCCCCATGCTACTTTGCACGGACCCATTTTCTACCACTACATGACCGATAGGGCCCCTTGCTGGACATCAGAGGAAAGTGCTTTAATAAGGCAGCAAGAAGGCTACCCCACCCCCAGAGAACAGGCAACCAGAGCCAGGTTATTTTGATGATAACATCTATTTCAGCATGTGTACGTGTGTGCAAGTGTGAATGCACGTGTGTGCATGCACGTGTGCGCGCGCGCGCACACACACACACACACATTCCCCTTGAATCTGAGCCTGAAGCACTGTGACATGACCTAGGGCCATCAATGCCCCTGTATACCAGAGAATGGAGCCAGCACTCCTAGGCATCCGGTAAATGCCAATGTTTCTATGGACATCACCTCATTTCATCCTCTCATCAACTCACTGCAGAAGGCATCTGATATCTCCACTTTACAGATGGCAAAACTGAAATTTAAGAAGGCCCAGTCACTTGAAGTTGCAGAGAATGATGATGGTGGAGCTGGCCCACACGCCCAGGCCCCCAAGACTCTGGTGCCCAAGCTCTTTCAGCTGAAACACTCCATCCTCCACTTAACAGCATATATGTGAACATCAGTGTCCAGTTGCTTTAAGACCCTCGGACAAGTGCCTACCACCTCAGGAGCTCACTGTTCTCTGTGGTGAAATGGAAAAAACAAATCCTTGCTTAGGTCTTGCAGTGTGGGCGTGAGGAACAATTACTCAGAAAGATTATAAAGTATTGGAGCCCTACAAAAATGTGGTTTCCGCACTCAAGAGTAATCATCTAGGGAATAAATACTACAGTACAAAAGGGTCAGGAAGTCTCGTCTCCCTTGAAAATGCATCTGGACTCTGTGCAGGCTCTCCCTACTGCCAGTCGCAGTGAAAAGGGGGAGGCAGAACCAGCACCTCAGAACAAGCTCCCTACAAGGGGAAGGGCAGCAGGGCTCCAGCCAAGAGGCCCCTGGACACATCACATCTCCCCCAAAAGCCCCAGCCAGGCCTCTGCCTCCCCCAACCCAACCTTCTCTCACTCTTGACCACCCTGGGCTGTCCCACACTGAGCTGTCCTGCACTAAGTTGTCCCAAACTGAGCCGTCCCGCACTGGGCTGTCCTGCACTGGGCTGTCATAAGTAGTCAAGGATGAGGCAGCAGCTGTTCCAAGTTTCCCTCTAACCAGGTTTTCACCATCAATTTCTGAACTAAAAAGGAAATGGAAAAAAAAAGGAAAGGAGCTTGATGATTGGAAGGTCCTGAAGCAGTGTGTACAGAAGCTGGAAATGTCAAGGTCTGGGAGTATTCAACAAATGAAAGCAGAATTATATAAAAGCAACAGCTAATAAAAAAGATTGTCAGATGCTGTGTTTTCCATCTTCCCAGCCATTACAGGAATAAAATTATCCACAGCGAAGATCGAAAACCTTTTTCAAAACTAATACAATTAAGCCTTATTATCATGTCTCTTTTCTCCCTCTTTCTCTGGTTACTCCTTAATCCCCACTATCTCACTCGCCAATCTCCATTTCCTGGGATGTTGGAGGTACTTTCTTTTTTTTTTTTTTTTATCATTATTACTAGCAAAATGCTAGTGCTGAAGAGTCAGACAGAAGACCATGTTTTTGTACCTCCTCCTTGAAGCATTTAATAACTGTTCACAATCACGTAGGAAAACCTCCTGGTAAAGCACAGCCTGCATCTGCATATGTAAAGAGTTGGGACTGCACTTCATGATGAATGGGGAAGGACAGACAGGAAAGAGGGTTCTTCCAGGGGAGTTTCCTCTCCTTCAGCAAAGCAGAGAATTTTTTTTTTAAGGAGCAGAAATAAAGTAGAAATGAGAGACTATCGAGGGGAAAACAGATTTTATAGAAGGAAAAAGGCTGTGAGGCTACTTCCTTCCACACCAAATACACACATGTACACATTTCTAGGAGCCAAATCCAGAGAGAGAAACATGAGAGGGGCACAGCAGGAGACCAAAGAATTGCGCCCATAACAACAACAACAAAAAAACCCATGCTTATGAACATATGGGTAACTGTGATAATTAGAGCTATGGCTGGTGGGTTTTTCTTACCCTTTTTCCAGGCTCTCAATTCACAATTCCTGTCATTACAAGCTATAGTCAAATATGTGCATGAAGCTGCTTCATGCAACAGCATTTGCTTGTGAAGGGCCAATTCTGTCAGCAGCTCAGAGGTGTACTGCCCCTTCCTTCAGACTTCCGTGGATGTCACCGTTAGCCCTTTGTGTTCATATCATGTCAGTTCTTGCTGTCCTCCAAAACCCCAGAGTGGATGGCCCCCTCCTTGCCCCCACTGCCTGGAAATCCAGAAATCCATGTTTCTACAGGTTCCACTGTGGTGTGCCACAGGAGAAAACGCCTATGGAAATCAAGCCCCTCAAGCAAACTGTCAATTTCAAAGCTCTAAACTGTGACAAATGATTTGCAAAGATTTGCCTGCAATAAGCCGATGGCTCAGGTTGCTTGGCATACACGAGGGAGAACACTTTCTGTTAACCTTCTAACCATTCCCTCCTACATTTTAAGTCGTTTCTTTGAAAAATCTTTCACGATCAACAAATTAAACCCAAAAAAATAGTAAGCAGGTTACCAAATGAATTTTCAAGAGTCACTGCAGACTTGGGGGGGAAAAAGAAGAAAAATGCATGATGATGTGTCTTTACATCTCACTCATTTCAAAGGTTTAGCCTCAGAAAAGTAGATAGTGTTTAGCAGGATGCACTTTGATCTCCCCGACTCCCAGGAGAAAATCAATAATACAACTTCAATATATTTGTATAGCAAGACCTCACATTATTATTATTTTTATCCAGTGCAGCTTAACTAAAGTGAAGAAGGTATGTTGGTTCTCAGCACCGCCCTGTGGTGAAAGTGATTTTTTTTTCCTAAAATTGAACTATAACACAGCCAGCTGAATTCAACAAAAAACAGGCCAATTAAAAATCAATTATCTCTGACTGCAACTTGTTGAACAATTCGGCTTGTGGAGCTTGCTGCTGAATGCAGAAGGGGGCATGGCAGCGGCGCAGTCAATGGGATGGTTGGGGGGAATGGGGCCCAGGGACCCTGACCAGCACGCTGCTCCCTCCTCCTTTCCCCTGCGACAATGGTGGTGAATTCCAGTCAGATGTCTTTAGGATCTGGCCCAGAAAAAAGCCAGCCCAGCAAAAGCCTTACCTTCCTTTCAATGCGCCCCAGTTGCTCCTTACAGAAGGTGTCACGGCGTCTTAGCTCGGCCTCTATGCTTTCCAGCTCCCTGGCCTAGTTGGAAGAGAACAAAACCTACATTACCAAGCAACACTGGTTCCTGCATTGGGCGCTGCAGGGAGAAACCCGCCTGATGACTTCTGCTCACCACGAAGCCTGCGGGAGCTCAGGTTTCTTTCTAGAATAATCACAACAATAAAATAATAACATTAACAATAAGAATGGTAGCAATAATGAATTGAAAACCTATGATATGCCAGAGAGTTTACATATGCTGTGTTTGATTTTCACAACGACCCTTCAAGGTAGGTGATTCCTATGACCATTTAACAGATGGGAATCACTAGCATTTCCAGAATGCTTACTATGTGCCAAGGACTGTTCTAAGTGCTTCCCACACATTATTTCATTTGATTCCTACAACATCCCTAAAAGACAGGTCCGATTGTTGCGATCTCCCATGATATAGATGAGGAAATAGGTGCACAGCAGAGGGCCTATGTAATGGTCCAGAAGCTCACAGCTACTGGGAGAGGCCAGGTTTAGACCTCATCAGAGGCGAATGTGGCCAGTGCTGTGCCGCCTCAAGGAGGCCATGCGGCGCAGAGGGCCAGAGCTGCTCTGCTGGCCATGGAGTCCTTACACCTGGCACCACATCGCACACCTTCTCACACTCAAGCTGTAAGTGCTGGCATTCCAAGACACCCTTGTTCTGCTTAGACAGCCTGCCCACCTCAGGGGCCAGTGGAGTACAGGAGCACAACCAGAGAGTCCTAGAGCCCGGGCAGCTGCTCCAGCACTCCTGGAGGGGGTGGGTCCCTGGGGAGCAAGCACAGCCCAGGGCCCACCGGGCAGTTAAACAATAACGCCCAGAGCTCAGGTAAGGAGCAGGCCATCTGCAGTCGGGCAGACCTGGAGGTGAGCCCAGCCCTACCCTTAACTGGCTGGGTGACCTTGAACAATCTACCTAACTCCACCATGTTCCAGCTTATTCAAGTCTAATGTGTAAGCCTGAACTAAAGTGCCCACCACACGGAAGTGCTGAGAAGGCTAAAGGAAACCCCAGCAGAAGTGGACAGGTTCATACTTGGATACCACAAAGGGGCTCTCTGGGGCTGTCTGGGACATGGTCCCTACAGCAGCCTCTGCCCGCCACAACACCGCCCTCCACTGCCCAGACCCACAGCAACCCTAACCTCCATGTTGAGAGAATTCAGGAGCCCTGCCCTGGTGCTTGTGTGGAGGTATAAGGCCATCTGCTCACCATCTGCCCGTGCTAAGGGCTGAGTGTGCTGCAGGGACTGTTCTGGGCTCCTGACTTCACAAATTCTCACAACCCCAGGAGCACGAAGCTAGTCAACAAATTAGCTGGACTATCAGCCTAAGTCTGGATGACTTCAAAGACGTAAGTTTTTTCCTTTTAAACCACACTATGCTATCTGCACAAGGTTTTGAACCATTCGAAAATACAGGCTAAGACGAGAACTGGTTTTTTTTAAAGCCCATTTCCTTGGCAATGGTTCTCCCCCCGCTCCCCCACCACATGAAACCTTTCTGAAGAGACAGCAGGGTGGTCAGTAACAAGGAGCTGACCACATGCCAGCACCTGTGAGAACCCAGCATCAGAGAAAAGGCACACGAGGGAAGAGAGGCCAGTGCTGCTCCCAGGGAAACCGCCCAGCGCCGACTGGCAACAAGCTAGAAATTTGAGAGTCAAGTTCTACCATTCCTTCTACCTCTGAGTGACCCGGAAGTAGAGCAAGTGGCTATGTAGTCCTTGTGTATTTCCCCCTTACCTACAGAATGGAGAAAAGAGTAGTAACTTGGTTTCAAGGTGGCTGGAGAATATCCAAAAATGCCAAGAAGGCTTCTGGAATGCCTTTGGAATGCCAACGCTTCAGAAAAGCTAAATGCCAACAGTAAGACTCTGAATTCTGGGGGAGTTTTCGTAGGATTTTTCAAAGCCCGATGGTGAGGCTGTGGCCCAGGAATGCAAGCACAGCTAGTCTGTGTTGGCGCCCCCCAGCCCAGCACCAAACTGTTAATGGTCCCTGTGCAACTGGAGGAGAAGCTGGTCTGATCCAATTAAGCAGCCAGTTGAGATATATCTCCCAGAGCTCTGGACCTGACATTTTCTGGCCAACAGTCCCAGGTGAGCAGGAAAATGACATCTGAAAGCAAAACTGTCATGAGGTTTTTCAGCTACCATTTACTAGGGGCAAGTAGGGCAGCATAGACAGGAGACTCATCCATGTGCGCACCCACCCATCCCGTCGATGTATCTGGAAGCCTCCTCTGGACCCTGGATACAGAACTGCTCAGCCCGTACCTTCATAGTCCCACACCAACATGGATGTCTCCTGCTCAGAAGTGGGACACAGAACTAACACTCGGAGCAAAAAGTCCCAGCCATCTGCAGCTTCCTTGGGCCAAGAAAGCTGTTCAGACACATAGGAAGAAATACTGAAGACACTGAGCCTCCTTTCCTGTCCAAAGGCTCCCTTCCACCTCACATCAATATGTAACACAATTCACCAGTTATCAACACAGGAAATAATTACGTGTTTAGGGAACAACAAATCTGTCTCTCTGGCTAGCCCGGAAGCCCTATGAGAGCCAGGACCTTGCCCAACCCGCACCAGGTCCCCAAAGCCTTTGCTCCTATCACAAGTTGGGCAGCTGCCTCAGCTTCATCAACTATTAGGCACCAACTATTTGTCTCTGAGATTTATAATAAAATCCCAGTGATATGCCTTGGACAGGAGGTGATACATGGAAAAGGGCTTTAAAATAAATGAATGCAAATAAGCGCATGAAAGATGCTCAACATCATTAGTTGTTAGAGAAATGCAAATGAAAAACCATAATGAGATACCACTTCACACCCACTTAGGATGGCTACAGTCAAGAAAACGGGAAATAAAAAGTGTTGGTGAGGATGTGGAGAAATTGGGATGTAAATGGTGCAGCCACTGTGGAAAACAGTATGTTGGTTCCTCAAAAAGTGAAACACAGAATTACCACATGACCCAGCAATCCCACTCCTACGTACAGACTCCAAAAAATTAAAAGCAGGGACTCAAACAGATACTTGTACACCTATGTTCATTGCAACATTATTCATAATAGCCAAAAGGGAAACAACACAAGTGTCCATCAACAGATGAACAGATAAAAAAATGTGGTACTATGTATAATAGATTATTCCCCCATAAAGAGAAATGAAAACCTAATACATGTTACAATATGGATGAACCTCAAAAACATTATGCAGAGTGAGATGTTAGACACAGAAGGACAGATATTATATGAACCTACTTATGTGCAATATCTAGAATAGGCAAATGCTTAGAGATCAAAGTTTATTAGTAGTTGCCAGGGGCTGTGGGGAGTGGGAAATAGGGAGTTATCATTTAAGGGATACCAAGTTTCTCTTTGAGGTGATGAAAAACTTGGAAATAGCGGTGATGGTTGTGTAACATGGTGAATGTAATTAATGTTACTGAATTGTACACTTAAAAATGGTTAAAATGGCAAACGTTTTGTTATATATATTTTACCAAATAAAATTTAAAAAAAACAAATGCCTTGGTGTTGGTGCCTAGCACAGGGCAGGCAAGCACTCCATGTCCTGGTCTGAATGTCTGAATGAATACAGTGGACAATATCTGGTCACTTTTACCAAGACCCTGTGTCATAGCACTCATAAGAAGCCATACCACATGCATTTCTCAGCATGACATTGGAATTAAGGAAGCACAGGTGAGTTTCACTGACTGATAAATGTATTAAAACTTCACTGAGTGTATTCCATGTGACAGATATTACTGTAAAAGGGTTGGGGATGCCAAAGGGAAATGAGAGACAGAGTTTCTGCTCTCATGGATCTTAGATCCCAGTGGGACACAAACATATATACTGAGAAATAAGATAATTTCAGATAGTGATATGTGCTAGGGAGACCCTAAGATGGAGTAACTGGTAGGGTGGCTGGTGTCATTTTCTCTAAGGATATTTCCAAGAAAGCCTTTTCAGAAGAAAATACTGAATTGAGAATGTTGTCTCCAATACAAAGGTAAAATATCAACAGCATGAAGATCTACTCTGGAGGAAGTCTCTGAATGGCAGAACTGAGAGGAATCTTTTACAATTTAGTCAAGGACTTCCTCCAGTCAAGACAGCACAGTGAGTTTATACTTTGATGCATCTACTCTGCTCCAGACACACAGCTATGGCAGATAAAATATAAGAACAGAAGACCAAATAGATGTGGCCAGGTTCAAAAATAAGATAAAAATGTCCAACACAGAAGAGAAGTACAGAACGGTAGGTGAGGCTGGAGCCACGTGGTGCCTGCAGAATTCAGGGCTGGAGCAAGCAGAGGCAGCCAGAATCCCCTTTATCCTGTGGGATCCAAACAAACAGCGCTCCCCAGAGGTAGGGACTGAAGCCAGGCTTGCCAACTGAAGCCTCTACTTCCCCTAGTAAAAGAAACTGATGTGAAAATTCTTGAAGACCTGTCCAGGGTTTTTGGTATGTTTAAGGCTGGGCATCCTGGGGACTTCAGATACAACCTATGGACTACAAGTGGACCAGGCCCCACTGGCTCTGTTCCTGGCTCTGAGTGTCACCTGTATTGCTGTGGAGCCAGGTCCTCAGAAAATCATATAAGACGTGGCTCAGCACTGGAAGCAGGTAGAGGTAACAGCAAAAATGCAGGGCAAGGAGAAAAGGACATGCAGAAATTGAGAGAGAAAACACAGCAAAGCAAAACAAGATAAAAAATCAAACTTTCCACTCAAAACAAGTCTGCAAACCAAATCTCAAGTACGTGAAGAAATGTACTGCTTAGAAACCAAACCAAACCCTTTGCCGTTGAGTTGATTCCAACTCATAGCAATCAGCAACTGGAATATGAATTCACTCCAGATGAAATTAATTTTATGGGACAACATGATGAAAGATTTTTAGAAGCTTGTTATTGTGGAAAAATTTTAAACACAAGACAAAATAATATAATAAAACCCCAGATACCCATCACCAAGCTTCAACCA